CCCTCTGGTTCACCCCCGCTAAAGAAGTTAAAGACTGTTCCATCAGCTGAAATGGTTATGGCCTCGGGTTTTTGAGATGCTGATGGTAGATTATCTGCAAAAGGGACAAACAATCACTTCTCAGGAGGTTAAGAGCAAACGTTAAACACAAGCGTCTCGGAAAACTCCGTAAAATTATGTTGTTTCAGCAGACAATGCCCCTGTTTACAATTCTGTCCTTGCCATGGCTTCCAGTAACGATTGTGTGGCATCGAATTGATTGAGCATCCGCCTTATTCGCCTGCTCCTGGTTCTTTTAACCTTTCATCTATTTCCAAAATGGTAAAAGACTATTTCCGGTACCCACTTTCGGTCAGATTATGGCGTCAAACATGCAGTGAAGGACTTTCTGAACAATCAAGAAAAGGACTTCTTTCAAAGTGATATTGATGCCCTTAAACATTGCTGGCTTTAGTGGATTATGTCAGGGGGAAAAAACGCCATTTACCAAAGTAAAATTCTTAAATATGAGGCTCACAACTTATCATATCGATCAGACCTCATATAATTTTGTAAGACTTGTCTCCAGATTAAGAAACTGATGATAAACAAGATAGATAGTGCATCCCTGGATAATTTTGCACTAGGCGTACAAACACTGGACATTGATTTTAGATTGATCAAATAAGACATGTTTTAATACGTTGTATCGTAGAGGAAAATTAATGCTCGCATTGATAAAGCATTTGTCACCAAATAACATACACAAATTGAAAACCTGATGATTTAAAATGAAAATAAGATCATGTGTTTGAATAAAGGGAATAGCAAAACGCACGTAAAGAAATATTTACGAATGCTATTATAAATTGTCGAATTAACATCCTTTGATTTCAAAGATTGTACAAAAGACAAATAAGTAGGTACACTGTATATGTAAATGACCATGAGTTAAGTTCGAAGTGATACATTAGGACATGGATAACAAAGATCTCTTGAGAATACAAGACGATGTATCGTCGATATAGCCAAAACTAAAATCGTTCGTTCATATAAAAACACTTGATAAGAGATCAATAATGCTAAAGTAACACACAGCCGCTTCATTCTTAAAGGACTCTTCAGCGATTCTTTATCACACAGTTGCTTCGTCTTTCAAGAATTTGTCATTGATGGCCTAAATTTTGAAACCCTTGAGGAGACTATCCATAAAATTCCAAAGTGATCAAAAGAAATATCAAAATATAGATAAGTATACCTACTAGCTCGATAAATCAATATATAGGTAAATATATGATATCTTAAGAGTAATGTCAACTACATCCCTACACGTGTCATGAAGGTTGAATTACTCACTTGACAAGCAGTTGTAAAACATTATACAAAAAACAGACAAAAATATTCCTATGTAGTCCTTTGAAAACTGCAAGGGTGAACTTGTAAGTTGTGATGACTGAAAAGGTTTTTTTGATTCCAAACAACATCATCATTATCGATGGAAAGTGACTAAGAGGCTTCAATAAACATCCAACATTATCAGTAACATATATACGTACGATAATGACCGAATCTTTTTACATCAACCTATGTCTTCTAAGTTCTATGTTAAGATTTGTCAGCCGACATTCATATTTATCACGAAAATCGAGGCTTGGAGTCGTTATATCTTAAACGGGCATGCTTTCACTGGAAAAGGAAAGTGTGTGATAAATCAGGGCTGTCAGTATTGTAAGCAGTCGATAAAGAATATTTGACGGTGTTCTCGAGGTCAGGCTCAGAAGGGTATATATACTGTCATGTTATCAGGAGATAAAGCCAATGGCAAACTTCGTGCAATGCAATAAATTCACAGCCGTGTGAACAAAATGACAAGTCAACAGTCGAAATTCACAATGTGTGTCCATAGATATGAAAAAAAAAACATTCTTTGGCATTGTGCCAGCTAATTGGATAATAAACAATTGAAAATAAAGCACAATGAGGGATTTGTGGTGCCGTTAATTATTCATTATCCACCAAGCGTGCTAAAAAAATATTCGATGTTCAATAAAAAAAAATGAAAAGTGCTTTCTGTCCATTTGATTGAAGAGTAGGGAGAGACAGTTTAATTTTCTAGTAACAGAAATGTGCTTTAACCAAACTAGCTGGGTATTATTTTGCTTATATGCTCCAAACATTATTGTTATTTTTCAGCTTCCGTTGAAATCTATAAAAGCAAGCAGGCAGAAACACTAACAAACCGAGTGTTGTCCCAGCTGTCACGTCGTGTTAAATGGACATGTCGGACGTGGAGACATAACCTAAAGTAAATTAAAAAAACAAATAATGACACCGTAGTCTCTGACCGGAAACCATGTCTGGATTCCTCCTTATTACACGGATTTTTCTTTTGCCAAATAAATCTCAATAAGGTGGAATAAAGTTAAACATCCAATCAAAATGATTTGAACACCAGCATGACATTCCTGATTTTTTCTGGCTGCAAATTGCCGTCTCTCAAAATCAGAGTATTTTGAGGCCTACACCAGGGACAAGTGCGCATCTTTATTAGGATTAATAAATGCTGTCAAATAGAACCTTCATGACAGAACCTATCTTAAGAGGCACATGATTAGGTGCAATGAAAGGACCTCGAAAGACAGTGCGGGTATATCCATTGCATGTTTGCTGTACTTAACACGGCCTATTCCGGAGTAATGTTGACGAATGTGATCTGTTTTATTCTTGTTAGGATTCGTTTGGTTATGAAAACAACAACTATCTTCTTAAAGCTACAAGAGACTGCTGGCTATTACTTTTTTAAAATAAAGACCATATGATGAATTGTGTTCAATTAAACTGTCTTTGCAAGTGTCATTATGTTGTTGTTATTTAAATCGTATATGTTTCATTGATTATCACACATAAATTTGAAAGTGCTCAAATACGCTTACATGATACTAGGCATATTTCTGTATTTCTTTCGAACCCGTATCAAACATTTGCTTACCAGAATTAAAGATTAACATGAAGAGAGTTGAACAAAAGACGTTCGTGTGCGCTTGATTGAGGACTTAATGATATGTAACATACTGCCATCATATTAATGTTTAAGCGATTGTGTAAAACACGCTCACGTGAATATTAACACGCATTTCTTATAATACGCAATATAGCCCCATACTGCCGTTGTTCCGTCCATTAATGATTCGTCTGTAGTGCTAGTGGTCTAAATTGTTGGAAACTGGAAAGCGAGTAAGGACAAAATCGGCGAGACACTTACACATGTAAGAATAAAAGGAATTCGATTCTCCTATAGTTCGTCGGAGTGCCTACAACAAACTTTACTATTAATTTGGTTATTATGTTTACAAAATTGTTATAAATGAAAAAAATCTGTTAACTACATTATAATAAAATTTCATGATATGATGTGTTTAGTACCCGAAACAGCATTCAATTCCGTCACATGAATAAGACTGCTCTATAAAGTGTCACTATTTAAATCTACAAGCCGTTTAACAATACTGTGATGTCGTGATGCCTATCATTGACACTTTACAGATAACGAGTTCAAGTATCTAGAATTACTTCCAATCCCGCTCAAACGCGCTGATTGCGGAAGAAGCGGCGTTTCTTTCCTTTGCGACGAAGCTAATTCGTCATGATAAAGCAGTTCGTATTTGTCAAAAGGTTCCGTTCTGGAAAGCTTTGAAATGGTGCTAATTCAGGGCGCGTTCAGGGCTTTCGATGTAATTTTGTTATGTTGAATTTTACTGTAAAGTTTCTAATACCTTAAGTATCTTTATTGCTTTCAAATACAGAGGAGTTAGTCATTGTAATTATAAAACAGGTTACTGCACACGGAACGTTTGTCAACTGTGGTTAACACTTTACCCTGTGACATTGATTTTTCAGGTCCATGTTCAAATGTACCACACGAAAGGTTGCTTAAGGTTTCATAATGAAGATTGAGTGCACGACGAATTTATCGAACAGGTACACACGACATATTCCAACAATTTATGAAGGAAAAGTGGGTTTCTTTAAATACTGCAACCATTTAACATGCTTGTTCGCTGTATATGAAAATAGTCGTTACGAGTTCGATATTAAGTTATAATCTGTTATTATTCAAATGAGGTAAAACATTCTTTTACCCGACAAGCACCCCGACACAAAAATACTTTTATTTTCAGATGAACGACAACATATTTTTCTTCTTGTAAATAAAGGATATGATGTTTACGAGATGATTAGCTTTTCCTTAGCATATTTACGATATGGCGTTACTTTTGTATTCTTGTATTCTATGTAAGACTCTTTCACACATGAATAGAAGAGTTTTCGTAGTTTGATATTATCATTCGACTCTCGGCCATTTAAGCAATTTTGTGATCGATCTCAAAACAACGTCTTTGCGTCTGTATGCACATGTCCGTACACCTATGTTGTCTTTCACTACAACAATCAACTTGCCATAACTCTTTTTTATAAATGTTTAGATGTCACGAAATATTAGTAAAATTACAGAAATATGCTTACGAAACAATCTCGAAAAGCAAAACACATTTATTATTCGATTTCATACAGCGCAACTTATATGTATGTAGATATTTACAAGATACATTCACTCCGAATGCCTTAACATTTAAGGTGCTTACGTTGGATCTGTTACCAGCGAGTGGCATTACAATGTCATCACAGTGTCATCAAAATGCCATCACAATGTCACCAGTGTCATCACAATGTCATCAGGGGCATCACAATGTCTCTTCACAGTGTCATTACAATGTCATCACGTCACAATGAGTTATATTCTTAACAGTTGTTACGCAGGATATATGACAAAGGTAGAATATAGCCATATGGTAAGAAGTTAATAAATATAGAAATTTAAGTAAGAACCCGTTATAATCTCCTGACAGTTTTCAAATTTATCAACTGTCTCGCCTCGTGATTTTGTCCACATAAACGATTAAACAACACTTCATCTATTTACGAATACAAAAGAATTAATTTGAATGAGGGATCCGTACAGATCAAACATCACTGATGCCGTATTGGACCTTACTATTTTGAGTATTTCTTTTCAAAAGAATAGTATATTCTGAATTGAGTGTTATCACATTATTTTTACTATTCGATCCTTCATAGTTTGATCTAAAGCAGCACAGTAGTAACTCGGCGAAATGACTCCGGAAGTTCTGGCTAAAGATACAGTACAGGATAGGATTGGCAGCCGAGTTGACGTAAGCTAGAATAGTGACAAATACAAGATAAACCCATGTATCCTGGAAGGACGACCGCCTAAAGGTATTGTACACCAAGAGAATCTGGTGGGGAGAATAACTGAGGAAATAGATCAACACACTAGCAATAAGCATCTTAACTACAGCTCGACGTCGTTTAAGCGCATCAGACAAACGCTTGTGGTCAACGTTCTGACGGCCATTGCCGTGAAGCTCTTCAACTCCTATGAACAAGGTTTTCCCAATCACGATGTAGCAAATTACTTGAATGATGAGCGGGATGAAGTAAAATAATGTCGCCTCCACATACTTGTAGAGGATGTAGCTTCCGACACCGTGTCCTGGAAGTATGATCTGACAGAATTCTACCGTGTCCTGGTAACGATCGCTGGCTATCACTTGATTAAACAACAAGGTTGGACTCCCACAGCCAATAGACAACGTCCAAATGACCACTATGACAATGAGCGTGTGTCGGCGAGTACACATCAGGTGTGCTTTTATAGGGAAGATGATTGCAATGTACCTGAAAAGACAATGATAGTATACATAGTTTTATAACAAACAATAACAAATATTCTATTTCTACTCTGCATTACCTGTATTCTCGTAAGAAAACATATTGTCACATCAAATTCAATAATATGGTGACGTGTGACTCTTCCTTAAAGAATCATTTCATTTCTAGTATCATGGTAAGTTTTCAAAGTTTAAATCCATGTTTTTTCGGTTTGATACTTGAGGTAACAAAATATATCTGATATCATAAGAAACTGAACAGGACGAAAATACATAGAAAATTTACTTTAAAAATGAAGATATGATAATTTTGCCTGGTAGATTATAACCAATGTTATCAAATTGTAAACTGAGAAGACTTTGATTCCTTCTAAAAAAATAATTATGAATATTGTTGGAACGTTATTCATCTGGAATATGTGAATTTTATTTATGTATTTATTTTTTTTTTCATTTTTAAGTGTGAACTTTTCCTGTTATCTGGCCCAAATGATGATTCGATTTTGCGCTTTGGTATTTTGTTAACCGATAAGTAACATCTTTGGATATTAATTTAATTTTGATATTTTATAAAATTTATCAAATAGCCTTAACAGACAAAAAGCTGCCTTATTTCAAAACATTAACGTGATATGATGGAATACACCTTCGAAATTGCTTGCAATGGTTAAGTGCGACGAAAGCATCAGTTTTACAATTGCTATGGTTGAGTATTCTTGTCGAGTTTTATGTGCGTTGCCGTTTCTAATTCTATCTGACAGTGTCTAATACAATATCAGGCTCCCTAGGGATAGACACTCTGCTGGTTTGTAATTATCGTTATTCTTTATACGTTAATTTCACAAAAAGGTACATTCTGAGTTGGAAGCCGTCGCTCTCGAAGGAGAATAACTCTCTTCGTCAAAACAATTTTCCTTATCACTGACCAAGAGCTTAGCATTAACAATCAACAGTGACAGGAGTGCTGCGTTTGCACCCAATGATATTATATATTTCAATAAAACTTTCCGGTTTATTATGCGCCCGATTGGAGATAAGTCAGTACCAATCTTCACTGTATTGACATGAGTGGTGAACAGAATCCTCGTCTGAGATGTTAACCCATATTACGGGAGACAACTTTGATTCGACATCCCGCAGGAGCTAATTTACATATCACTGTCACTCCTAGAGATAATTCATCAAACATTAAACTTCGTGACAAAACCATCATATTTGGTAGACAAACAACTATCTATTCCCACGCAGAATATAGAGAATTTTCGATTGATGATTTCCCTTTAATGTCTTATGTTTCACGAATATGACAGAATATCAGACATTCTATTGTACGGGTTCAATATATATAGTTTTAATCGAGGAACAATTAAATTACCTTTTTATTACATTTTAAAGTGAAAATTTAAAGTGATACAAACGTTTGAGAAATATAAATCCGTTTCTGGCGTCAGATAAATTGACGTTACGCTTGACAACAAGACGCTTTATATTGTGCTCTTCCATGGTATGCTGTTATCTGGCAAGAATCAAAACCCAAATTAGACAGAGACAGAAATGTACACGGGAATTACTTAAGGGGAAACCGACTTATTAAGCCCTTTTTTATTTTCGTTCGGGCAGGAATCGGAAAATTCCCATTGCAGTGGTTAGAAAGTATCACTCGGAGTAGTCAAAAACGTTATAGCACTGGAGATCAATATCGTCATGGCAGTCCTGGCATTAGGTTCTTATCAACCAAATAAATTCCAATATTTCACATGCAAATATGCAATAAAATATTAGAGACAAGGTATATAATCTGCTCCCTGTGATATTCTATATTATATAACAAAACATGATGGTTTCAATTTCCTTGTCGAGAAGTTTCCATTTCTGCGTAGCATCAACCTCGCGTCCCTAACGTGTACATGTCGCAGTTGATACGATATGCAAAGCCTCCTCCAGTCATCACGATTTTAGTGCAAGAATTCGTCAACTAACGGACAAACCAGAGATAAAAGTTGATGAAGTTTTACGGTCGTCATCGTGATCTCATGAAGAAATGTTTTCTATCTTTGTATGACATGAAGCCTTACGTGTTTGAAGCTTATTAGATTGCCTGATAATTTCGTTGCTGAATACCTTCTTCTCATTTAATATCGTGACGTCATTTACTTGGATTGGCACAGAGTTGCACGGCTGGTGTCGCAGAAGAACTCTCTCTTCCAGAACACTTGGTCTTATTCTTGTACTTTTCAGGAATCTCCGTGTAAATCTTATATACATATTCAACCTTAGTTTTGTTGAATATATGATTGAATTATGTTTATGTTGACGGTTTGTTTTAATCATGAATTAAATACAATACAACTAGTCTGATTGTGAAAGTTATCAATGGATTTTAACTGAGAAGTGGTACACAAGGCAATACCAATCATTTATCTAATTCTGGCTACAAACCACCAACATGTAGACAGAATCTTATTTCAAGCTAAATTTTGCTGAAAGTGAGGTGCGGAAGATTTACATGGAGACTACTGAAAAATTTGAACACAAGAATGCCTAAGGGATCATACTGTGGGAGGGAACTGGAGTATCCTTGGAAAACCAATGTTCTTTATTTTTGAAAGAGGTTTCTGGGATTAGTGTTTGCAAACGATTGCTGTCACATTTATACCGACGAATTTATTTGCTGTTTATGAACAAAATCAACTCATACAATAAAATACTCTCTGATTATGTTAATTGTTTACTCTGCATCACCAAGCAATGTTTGATACCTCTGACCTGGTCTTATAGCTTTGTCCTGACTACCCTGGATCATTACTGTTCCAGAGAGACATGCTTGCCTCTTCCTTTAAATAACTACCTCGCTGATGGTTCCCCTGTGAAGAATAACGTCTTTCTATGTCTCATTAGTTTTACTTTCATTTCGTTTGAATGATTGCCTTGTTGCTGCAGATTAGACCAGCGTATGTACACTAAATCTCGCTAGCGCCGACATGCATAATGATGATGGGGCTAAGTTAGAGGATAACGTGACTATTTTGGTTATGACTTAATCAGTTGAAAGTCTCTTAAAAATGTTGGGCAATGACGTTGATGAATCCTACAGTGCATATAACAAATTACCGGAGGTCATAAAAAAATAATGATCGCGTCTAAAATAGTCACACTTATAATATCTAACGTATTAAAATGTATTGCATTTCTATAGCGTAGGTACATTTCACTATATCAGAGAGACATTCAGCTACAAGTGCGATACATGAATATCACAACGATGATATCTGCAGACGAACTGGTCACACATGTATCTGTATACTAATCATACGTAATTGTTTACTTCTCCTATTCTAGCTCTATATTTTGCAAACAGGGGTCTTCACAAATAATGGTTTATCGTTTTTGTCTGAACACACAATTACCTAACGTATGGTCAATATTTATACTGCTTTTGTGACTAACAGGACCTAATATGGGTCTACCACATGGACAGATGTATCCAAACCTGAGTGTTAGATTTTGGCTGATCAGTACAAAGCTTGGCTAGTTCAACTGTTACCTTCACGATGAGATATCGCTGTCCCCGAACTGACCTGTGCTGGATTTATTTCCTCACATACTTAAAACACTGCATTATGTGAAACCTATTCATCGTGCCATCTTCAGTAATCCTAGGGTATGACAGGGAAATCAACCTATATGGCTGACAGAGAAATCAACAGTAAGGGTGGCAGGGAATTATTTAGGAATGACAATCCCTGGTCGATGATATAGACATGCTGAACAGGTCAAATGAGAATGGGAGATAAGAAATTTGAAGACATGGCAGTATGATTTGATCACCACAATTTACATGTTCTGCAATTGTTAAAATTAATGAGCAGAACCAAGAACATTTATAAATCTAACATATGATAATATTTATGATGTCTACGTGTTGCTTGAAATAACCCCCCCCCCACCCCCCACCCCCAACCCCACCCACTCCCCCCCTCGTTTTATTGAATTGGTGTTTGGATTATGATTACATTGGCATGTTGGTATCTTCTTCATGTTATATTACCACGCGAAAATCATGCTCTCTCTTCGCTGATATGGTAACTATATGTAGGTATATGCAACACTCTTGACTGTTTAAAACAACGATGTAAGTCATCAATCACTGTCCGTGTGATGGAATTTATGATAATGTTTAGTTGTGTATAAAGATGACGTTTAAACAAACGATGAGTATATGCCGAATAACACAAAGGTTTCGTTAACCCAATACACAATCATTATCGGTTTTACAGTCCTGTAAAAGCTTTCATCGCGATTCCATTTCCTAGTTTTTATGGAATAGGCGTTTGTGTATTACCTTGCTCATTGACGAAACTGTTACTGACTGATGGATGCTGAATGCCTCAGCATTCGTTGTTATGATTGTCCGGATATCCGCGCCATTATATTTTCCGATGTTTCGCTGACATGGTAACTTTAAAGAATGCCTGTTATTTGAAGCAAGTCATACAATTATCAAATAACCATGGGATAGGATTGCAATGGGTTTAAACATAAACTACTGATAGGTCGAACTTCAATAAAAAGGTTACACAGATAAAAGAACAATAATGAAGCTATATGAACAACAAAACGTAAGATTCGATTTAGTCTTTTTGAACCATTTAACCTTAAAGAACCTGACGAAAATTTGGAAATGAAACTAAACGTGTTTGATGTTTGTTTGTTGTTGTTGTTTTTCTGGTTTTTTTTTTTTTGTTTCTTTTTTCTATAACGCTAATTCATCTTGTTTTCATTCGGGAACAGGCATTGCATGTGTTTACTTGGAACGACCAAGGTTAGCATGACGTCATCGATGAAGCAGACAATGGTAACCAATTTCACTTATTCTTCTAATTGTAGGGGTCTCCATGTTAATATTTCGTTTGTTCTTTTTTTGCCACAGTTTCCTAGAATTGATGTTTGAATGTAGATTCTGTTAATTTCTCGGTAATTCCTTGTTGTTGTTTCATCCTTAATGAACAAGAAAAATAACACCATTCACCCCTCCTTTATCCCAAATAAACCAAAGGTAAGAAGTATTAACTCTTTATTTACCAGTCATGTGGTTATAGCGTGTATCACTTGTTTTGTGTCTGCATGGGGGATACACAAATTTGTTCTTCAATGACGCCTGCACTATCAGAAAACATATGTCATATTTACATTTGCTGTATTAGGCAGTGAAGGGAATCACCAGTGTTTATTGACTCGCCAAAATAAGTTTCTGAATTATATATATATATATATATTTATTTTATTTTAGTTTGACTAGCTGTTGACATAAACTATTCAGTTTTAATAAGATAGTAATACATCTGTACGCACAAAACCTTGAAGGCTCGATGGATATAGGAAAATATGTTCAGTATCTAAAATTTCAAACTGCAGTATAGATGTATATATATACTCCTTGACGGTGATAAATAGCTCTCGGTACAATCAAATATATTTTAGAAGTTAGACGGCGAAAGATTGCACGATCCCATTTTACTTATATAATGGAGTCATTGGGGCATTTTAATAACACCGAGATACCTTATACTTGAAGATACCATTGATGTTAAGTTGGTGATGAATTAGTCCAATATCTGTTATCTCTGATCAGGTCGGCATAAAACACTGTTACAGCTAACAACAACTAGTGGCTTTGAACGTCTTTACATGGAGACATCAGATTGTCTTTATCGCCCTGGCTTTACGTTAATCTTCATATGCTAATGGTTATTCCCAATGTCCCTGAGGGCTAAATCAGCAAATGAAAAATTTACTAAAAAATCTTATGATAAAATCGATATTTTTCATTAACTCATAGGGGATATAAATCTTTTAGATGGCAATTAATTCTTCATTATACTATCATACCAAATGGAATTGTAATGAAATACCTGTCTTTTTTGTCGCTTTTAGGGTCTCCATTATTCATGTCTTGTTCCTGTGTCACTGCAAAATGTATCGCCTATTTTGTTACCATTCTATTTATAGATTTCACTTTGAACTCTCAAATGTATTTACATGACACTTTTAGATAGCAGGACAATAGTGTGACGAATCTTTGGCGCCATCTTGACCTTAATCTTGGCAACGTTGGCAGGCCGAAAACATATGTTGTAACATTACTTTAATAATTAAGATGCATATAAAAAAGACAGAAATAGATCCTTGATAAAATAAATACGAAAAGACGTTTTAGTTAACTTCAAATGAAATGCACCTCCTGGCACTAGATATAATTTGTCAACCGTTAAATGGTAAAATGTCTCTATCTAAACCAACCGTTTCTGTGTTACACTACTGGTTGTGTAATTGTCGTTTATATACGCAATTTAACATTTTAAGTCATGATTATTGCCTTTCATGAACGGACTACAGTGGTTATATAATTGATTGATGCAATTACAATGCTCTCATTGAAGCTTAACATACCAAGGAATTCAACTACGACCCCCATCCACTCCCCCACCAAAACAATATCTTAATTCAAACTCAATATCGATGCTATAATGGCTAAAATATGAATTAAAGTACGATTTACACTTAGTCTCTTGAAATGGTAGAGGATTTTTCCTTCGGTAAAACCTGCCGATTCAGTAATCCAAGTCCTATAACAGCGTAGGTTTGAAAGCAGGGTAGTGACTATCTTGTGAAGGAAAATTAAAAACAGCAAATTCGGAAACATAGCGCTTATTTTGAAGCTTATTTGAAAAGCCAATGTTGGTTTCGTTGTGAGATGAACTGCTGATGTCCGTTGAGGCTTTGATTGCAAATTCTTGTGAGTATACATGCTGGACTTTGACAAATAAGATCTTGTTATTTACAGACAAAAACATCAACATTCATGAATGTGACACAATGGGAATTTAGCAAGTCCGTTAGCAAAAGATATAATGAAAATAAAAACAGATGTATTACAGTCAGGAAACCTAGAAATCCCATGAGAATAAAACAGGAAATAACATGTACCGTCAGTTTGACTACCAATCTTACAATATGATCACCCAAAAAAAGATTTCTAAGCATCAACTTGTCCAATCTAATGCCATACATGTATTAGACCAACTATAAAATGCATATAGTAAAATGAAATTCTTGTGTGGGAAAACCCACGATGTATTTGTTTTCAACTTTTAATATGACCAATGGCATGCTATATTTTATAAATAGGTCATTATTATGGCTAAGTACTAATGTATTCGTGAAATACTTTAAAAACCACCATATGGTGATCATCTTCATTTGCGTCATTGTTGGGTTGTTTTTGTGACAAGTTTGAGGACGTATAAAAATATATAACGATTCCGCTGTCGAAAGTCTTTGAGAGCATAACTTTTATTTGATGTTATAGTAATCACGATGTCGTTGTTCAATAGAAAAAAATATTCCATTATCCTGAAATTTATTTTACTAGCATTGCAGTTAGTCATCTTAGAAAAAGAAAGGTGATTTTATAAATATATTTTCAGAAAAAAAAATACTTGTGTATCGCTGGAATGGATATTTAAACTTAATTAAATGAATCAAAGTTTATTTATAAGTCAGTATTTGACGTATTATGAACTATATCATTGTTTCAACTACATGGACATCTTATTTAAAATATACATTTACCCTTCAGGAATACATAGTATAAAATGCAAAATGTCGAACATGTAATGTTTTATGAGAGATTGTTCAGAAAAAGTAAACTTTTTACAATTGAAGTATAATGATTGAAACTCATTGACAAATACAAACTACATATAATGTTGAACACGTACAGGCAGAATGAACTTGATACAGAGCAGGTGGTAGACGTTCGTTATCTGAACAATGTAAAGTAGTTAGGGGTTCCGTGTACAGTTATAAGCGAAGACCAAGTTGTTTATAACACTTGCCTAAACGAGCGTATAAAGCAAAACGAGATTTTACTTTAAATACGAACTAGGGAAAATACATTATTAAACTTAAAGAACATGTATGAATTATATATGATTTTATTGAAAACCTTATGACATTTTTATTAAACATTAGAAGAAGTACTGTTGTGTACGTTTATTATTTTTAAATATTGACCACAAATTCGTTCCCTTCTTAGTAAGAGTGTTTAAGTCTCCTGATGTGAACCTATTGAATTTCAAATGCAACCTCGCGATACTGATAAGCCTGCGATTGTACAGTATCTACAGACACATAGAAATAATTCCGGTGGTGTCGGCACTTGTCTGTTTATTGACTAATGGACAGTCTAATAACTTTTCTGTTGTTTTTCAATTGCATTCCGGAATTTTAGAGGCTGAAGCAAATCAACATACAAGACACACATCTAAGACATTGCGAATTCGTCGGTAAACGTGAGGATACAGTTTTAATGTTTGATTGTTTCTGCACTTTGGATCATTATCCTTCATACCTTACAGATGTCCCGGAGTGCTTTACCATACCTTTAAATAACGGCAGTGCCGATAGTATACGTTTTCCTGCAGTATTCATTATGGCGTAATAATGTTCGACAATTTTTGATAAAAATATTTTACAAATATTGTTTTGTTTTGTTAATGAATATATTGTTGAGAAAACGTTATGGTATTGTATACTATTTTATCTTTCATAGACGTAGAGGCATCTCAAATAGCAATACATCATTTCATTAGACACCATCGGCTAAAAATACCATCAATCATTGTCGTATTAACCATTGCGATTCCTTCCATCTCCGACCTATAGTGTTTACGTGTTGTAGTTGATTTGATATTCGAGGGCATGCTCCCAGTATCACAATTTTCGTGCAAGATATCAGCAACTGACATACATTCTCTTAACACGTGGTATCGAGAGATGCAGATTATAATGATCTTATAGAGAAATATTTTCATTTCTTTATGCTGGACACATCATATCAGGCGATTCCGTTGTAATTTACCTTGTTCTAATTTGGAAACGTGACATTATTTAGTTGGATTGACAAAAACATATATAGCCGACGTCGTATATGAAACAGAATACACTTACTCCTCCGGAACACCTGGTTTTATTTGATATTTTATTGAATTTGTGTTTGAATTAGGATTCCATTGACTTGTCGGGACTTTTCTTTGCTGTTTTAGTAACAAACAACTTTAAATGTTCCTGTTATCAAAGATGACATATTATTGTTAACTTTCGAACCCATTTTAACGTGTGTACAACAATAATATGGACGATGTCCGAACACCGTTCAGCAAGCAAAACGACGCTTTACAAGAATGAAGGTAGTTTCGTTTCTTTATATTTCATCATGTATCTATGTACTTAATATTTCATTCTTACAACACTGAAATAGTGTGATTGAGTGGAAACTGAAGCTTACCTTTCTATGCAAAGGGAAACCAGTGTCATAACAGACACATACAGTCCAACGACCAGTAACGTACGCTCCAAACGGCACATGACTTCTCCAAGTATCCAGCCTCGATTTAACATAAATTGTACAATTTCCGGTATGCCAAAAACTAAAACAATGCCATCAGCTATTGCGAGATTGATGATGAGCATGTTTGTCATTGACTGTCTCATCTTCTTATCAGCAAGTATCACGTATATGACAAGAGCATTTCCAACGATCCCTGTGAGACCTACGATGAAAAAGGCGAGAGAAAACCCGATGATGTTTGCCGTACTGACATTTGGAAGTTGTCCGTGTATAGTTGTACTATTCAACCCTTCACTGGTCGTAGAATTCATCTTGATGACAGCACTAGTTCCCTTTCCAATATCCTTTTACTTCAATTCGGCGATTATTGTTTGTTTATAAAAGGACACATTCTACCGATATCCGCATTCCTTTATTTATTTTTAATCGGACAATTATGATACAATGTTGGTGATTGAACTGTCTTCATAGATTTGGTATCAAAGGTTATTCTGATGGTAGTATGTATTTATCTGCTGCACAGCAGTCGTCTCTGTTTTTAAGTGTATGTCACTTCGAAGCACTGTTCCTTATAAGATATCACTAAATTACACAAGTACTTACAAAAATAACACTTACTGTTGTCCTTGTTCACGTCCGTATCGGTTCGTCCGCATAACCGTACCTTCTCAGTTACATAACCGTATAACATCCTCCCATCCGTCATTCCAATCATACAAAATCCATGTATTTGTCTATGAAACACAGTACCCTTTTCGTCTGGCTGTTCTAGTTCTCAGAACTTAGTCAGCATTAAGTATCAATCGCTCATCTAGTGCTGAGACATCAGTCCGCATAATAAATGCGTTTTCATCCTAGTTGGATTTTTGCTGCCGTTTACTATGTTACCTTGGGATCCTGAACACCAAATGAGCAACAACAAAAAAATGGTATTTGACAAAGACAAAATGTTTCGCCCTCCGTTGCCCGATTATAAACCGGGCACTTCCAGGATATGTTTTTGTATTTTACTTAGTTATCCGCTATGATCCATAGTAATTCAATAAATCTGAAATATAACACTAGGCAAATATAAAAACTGCGTATCGAGCTTGAATTTAACTCGTTCAAAATATTGTCCTTATAAGCAGGGGAATGTTCGATTTTTAGTAACCATATGTACACAAGCACTGAGCAAGGTCATCAATCGCCTTATATGCCCGCCTTCACGACATTTCCTAATGTATTGATCCTTCTGGTATCGAGGACATCCCATTTCCAGCCAATCTGCTCCAACATGCTAAAATTATCACTGACGAAGGCCATAATAATTCAATACTTAATTGAACACGGGACATTTCATTATCCTTATGATTTCATTTTTTTATTCCTATCAATTAAAGTGTCTTCACAGGATTGATGTGAGAGGTTTTTCAGTGTTTTAGATAGCTTTATTTGTACATGGCTATAATGTCGCGTGTCTTTGCCTGTATCGGAATGGTTTGTCACGTGCCTGATATTGGAGCTCGTGGCTATCCACAAAACATGTCATTCATGGATTAAATGTCAATTAGAGGATGGGTCGGGTATCAAACAATCATATCCCGAGATTAAAAAATCCACTGGCCTAGAAAACATTTCGTCGTGTTTTATCACGTTTCAAGTGTTATGTTACATACTGACAATCAATAATAATGACTTATGAAATACCTAGTATATTTTCAGTTATCTTAGAAATATACGTGACAACATCTTGGTCATCGTCAATTTACAAAAGAAACCGTTTCCAGATGATCAGCTGTATAAAACAGTGTGCTCTCCTGTCACACACAGATATGTAAATTACAGCCGTTCGTTGACGGCAAGTCCTCGTCAAGTTCTCATTTTGTATATATCACACGATTTAGACACACGTAACAATATCCTAGAAAATCAGGGGATTATTTTTCAATTCGTAAACAATATCGAAAATACTATAGAATCAGGGAACCTAATTATGATAATGTTTAGGATTTCGAATATGTTCCTTCGTCGGCATGGTGATAATGGATACGAAGGCACTGTCACAAGACGCAACAGTCTATCACAGTAATATAGACCCAAAATGGTAGACGCAACAGTCTATCACAGTAATATAGACCCAAAATGGCAGACGCAACAGTCTATCACAGTAATATAGACCCAAAATGGCAGACGCAACAGTCTATCACAGTAATATAGACCCAAAATGGCAGACGCAACAGTCTATCACAGTAATATAGACCCACGATGGAAGACGCAACATATTAACCCAGTATTTCTACTGCAATTATTTTAGGCAAGAATTTGTTGTGAGAAAGATCTATTCTACGACAAATTATCTTGCCAGATTATCTTTTATAATCGTTGTACGAATTCGACAAAACCCATTTGTTGTCATCCAAAATATCAAACAGAACATGATGGCAAACAGAGAGGGGGAGAGATGAACCTTTATTGTTAAAAATATACATGCAGCATCTAAAGAAACATCTTGAAATACATTTATATGCTTATGACGTAGAGTTACTCTTGACAGAATGTATTGTTATTCGGTTTAAATTCTAGAATAACATAAGATCAATGTTTGATCATTATTTCATTATACTTTTTTATGTCGTTGTCGCAGACCTGTTTATTTTTTGAGGTACGTAACATCTTTAATTTACCTTGAAGCTATATGGATATTTTTTATCTTTGCTTTGATTTCTACTTTTAACTCTTTCTTCAAGAACTATTTCATTATCAGAGAAAATCCTTATTCTTAAATGTAGTGCATGAGATAAGCAAGGGTCCATACTGTACGTACACATATATAATGTACATTCATTCCTAACGTTAGCATTTCATGCGATGACTTGGCTGTTGTATCTGAACGCCTGACTACATATCAGCCTAACAAGAGAGTAAGTATTAAGAGGAGATGCAATGAAATGTAATCATAAACGTTACGTGTTATTTCATTGCCGGAACTGAAGACAGACTCTTCAAAGTGGACAATAGTTATATGTTAACAAGGTACTTTAGTCACTTACCAATCATGTCCTTAGTCTCTCAAGAATGAAATTGGATTGGTCAAATGTTGATTAATGGTGAATGCCATCAAGTGTAGGAAATACGTCAGTTTCGACGCACTTATTTTTAATTACGTATTTTCTTTTTATTACTTCAACAGATGTCGACTCGTCTTTGAACAATAGTCTGTCATTATATTCTGGCTGAAAATTATCCCCATATATTTGATTTCTAAACTAAGAAAATGACTAAGTGTATTTTCCCTGTACTATTACTTTATACATCTTGAACTTTAAACATGAACACCGATCTCTATATGACATTATCAATATTTCATATATTTGCTCATAGAAAATAAAAATGAAAATACCAACATTTCACCATAAGCATATTCCAAACTCAGATTCAATTACACTGGGGTTGATATGAACAAAATAACTTCTGAAAAAGTGCACGGAGAATAAGACCAGGTGTTCCGGAAGAGTAAGTGTCTTCTTCTTCATCGACGACACCTGTCATGTAAACCTTGGTCAATCCAAGTAATGCCACGTTCTCAAATGAAAACAAGATATGCAACAACGGTCCCAACAGACGGACTAACAAGTATCAAACAAGTTTCATACCTCACAAAGAAAAAGAATTTTTCGGTGAGATCACTATGACGATGGTAAAAAATCCACATAACTTTCTTCAACGTGCACCATTTAAATCTTGTGTTTACGATTTTGTTCGGCAGTTGACGACGTCATGAACGGAAATCGTGATAATGGGAGCAGGCCAAAAAATTTGCATTAGGTAAATTGAAATCACTACGCTTATCATATGGACCTACTGTACAGGTTGATTACAGGAAAAGGTCAAGATAAGTGGCTGGTGTAGACGAGTCTGTCTTATTTACATAAACCTGTTAAATTAACTGGTTCGTTCTTTAAACTTGCAATTATCATACTTATTGTCAAAAATCACAAACCCTAAGTTACCTTTACTAGTAATCAGCCATGGGCCGAGAGACTTCCTGTTTTAGAATATTGTCGATGTTCGTAGACAATTATTATCGTACCCATCTGTATGTTTTGTCACTTGATGTATCTACTATTCCCCATAAGGTTTGTGGTTATGAGGACTCTTACAAATCAGGTTTGACTGTATTTGATTATCAGGTGATGTAACGACATTTGCATGGCAAAGACTTGTCTGGCCTTGCAAATGACTTCAACAGTTTGAAAAAAATACTTCTGTCGTGACTATAGCGTAACCACTGTAGTTGGCTTTTTGAAGGTTAAAGATATTTTTGGAAGTGCGTGAGGTTACAAAATCGATTTCATTGCGAAAGCTTTGTTGATGAATTAGTCGACATCAAGTTTTCCGGCTGGTCTATGAAAATAATCATTTAGTGAACCATGTATATTGAACAAACACACGTAACTCAGGTTAGCAGTTGGTGCTGCCGCGATACAAACATCTGTGACGGTCTTATGTAACACTGTCGATAATTACTGTCTCTCTATTTGCACAAGTTATAACCTATTATTTATAAGATCAAACGAAAGTTTAACGCATCTAAAATGGACCCGCTGTATCAACAAAAACACCCCATCAAATTCACATTGATCGTAAAGCCGCACTCAACAAATGGCATTACATTGCTATTCAATTGCAACCTTTTAGAGACATCAAATTCTGTCGACTTAATATCGTTTTCGACAGCAGAGATTTCATACAGCAAATGCAAATGGTAACAACAGATAAAATGTGTTAAGAGAAACTGTTTACAGGTTGTTGAAGCAGATCAATCTGCGTGGAAGGAATTTTAATAGAAAACGATGCATTTTCTGAGAATGGATAATGCTGTTGAAAATCTCGACACATTTACATTAATTTGTTTTTATTTCTAATGTGTTGCCAGCATCGCAAACGACTACTGCATACCGATGGTCAATTTATTCTAGGTACAATATATAAAGGTTTGAATGTTTTCAGTACATTAAAAAAAATACCCTTTTCGTCTAATTAACCAATCAAAAACCACTAGCAAATCATCTTCGTAGTGTTGTAGTATACTCATGACAGATTACATTTTACCGGTAACAAAACAAACAGTAATAAAGGCAAAAACACTATGTAACGTCTATCAGCTATCTAACAATTTTATGGAAATAAAACGTGTCTTGTCTTTTTGTGTCATTTATAACTCTTTATGTGATAACATTGATCTTGTTTTGTCTTGTCATTTTCAATTTTTAGCCATGTCAGCGATTTCTTTTCTCCATCACAAGAAATTTGCTATCCACGTAATCCT